AAAAAAAAAAAAAAAAAAAAAAGACAAAAACTCTTAAAAAATAAGAACTTTGAAAAACCAAAAAACAACTCAAAGTCAAAATCAAAGCCAACACCTTCTAGCTTTGCCGGTACCAAGTTGTCTGCTCCCCTGATGTTAGTTCCATCGCTAGCAACCCAAAACTCACCTACCTTGAAGGCTTTATTTTGGATAGAAGTACAATAACATCTATTTCTTCCTTAAAAAATCACAACTGTTAGAAAACAAAAAACAAAAAAAAAAAAAGTTTTGAATAACCATGCTTAAGTCTAGAAAAATAAGTTTTCCCAAAGGTGAACTCTTTGGTTGTTGTGCCCCGTCTAGAGCATGTTGAAAATGTTGAAATAGAAGTGCAAGGAAAAATATACTCCATCCATCTCATAATAATTATTTGTATTTAATTTTTCCTTTAAAATAAAGATTTAAAAACTATTCATATATTTACTCAATTATATTATCTATTGAAAAAAAATTAAAAGATAAAGTAAGACTTTTATGACACTATTGCAAGAATCTCATATTCAAACCGAATTATCGGTCCGGATATATTACAAATCGGTCTGAATTTATATATACGGACCGATATCGGTCCGGATATTTCAGTAAGAAATATAAATGGTTATTGAAAAATTGAAATAAGCGGATCGAAATTGGTCCCAAAAACATAATATAATAAAATAATAAAATATGTACGAACCGACAACGGTCTGTAACTGTGGCGGAAAGAGGCCTCGCAAATATATCCGGACCGGGATAGGTCCGCATATGGAGGACCTAGCAGCAATTTTTAAAACTTGCAACTATATCCAGACCGTTTTCGGTCCGAATATGATGGACTTGCTTGTAACTTTTTAAAGTTCCGTCTCCCAACCGACGCCATTCTCAAACTATATCCAGACCATTTTCGGTCCGAATATGATGGACCTGCTTGTAACTTTTCAAAGTTTCGTCTCCCAACCGGCACCATTCTCAAACTATATCCAGACCGTTTTCGGTCCGAATATTGTGGACTTGCTTGTAACTTGTTAAAGTTCCGTCTCCTAACCGGCGCCATTCTCAAACTATATCCAAACCGTTTTCTGTTCGTAAATATCTTTGGAGAGAAAAAAAATAAAAACAGTAAAAAATAAAGAAAACAGATTTATTTTATTTAATAATTACACAATATTAACAAATAATACAAAAATAAATTTTACAATTCAAGATAAATGCATTATAAAAAAATAAAAAAATAACTTAAAATATATAAAAGTTTAATTATATTATATTAATTTAGTTTTACTTAATAAAAATTATACTTATTTAGTA